GCTACAAGTGCGGTGCTGGCCTCTTTTTAGCCTTTAGGGATTTGAGAATAGAGGACAGGGTAGGACTGGGCCTCTGGTAGCCTCACTCGCAGGGCTAAACACTATGTAAGTTGCTTCACGCCGGTTTTTTGTGAGGGCGTGGTATCACTCCGGTCGAGCTGCCCGTTCGTACAGAAGCATGGCTTGCTTACACTTGATTCTTATATTTTACGAGTTTACCACGAGACCTGACAATCAGAATGTAATCAACCTTTACTTATAAATATACCTACTTAGAAAAATGAAGGACCTTTTTTCACTTTGCTTGCCTGAGTGTCACTGCCTGTCTCGGTGACGTATAATCTATTTACTACCGGATGCGTCCGTCACAGTGAAACATATTATAGTTTGTATGTTTTCGTCGCTATAAATTCCAGCAACAATTTATAGGTAAAGTTTTTATAAAAATGGATCTAAGTAATTTCTGTCCTCATAAAGAGCACTGCAGTAAATTTGGTAAGATTCACTGTTTATCTTCTTATCATAACTACCTACTAGAATATAAACTTATGACTTACTCATGTGAATGGAGCGATAAAAGCTCTGGGTAAGTACTAGTTTTAAGTCACAACAAATCGACACGTTTATGAAGTTCAGCGCTCTGGTTGGCTGGCTCTAAGCTAACGCCTAATCAGAGGATTCAGAGGTTTAATCGCGGCAACGTTTCGATTATGACACAATAGGAATTGAAAAAAAATTGTCTATAAAAGTGTTCTGACTTCTGACATCGTAACGATCAAAGTTAGCTCGCTGCTCGACTTGGCAATAAACTCGCGCATTCGGCGCGTCGCATAACGCACACGCCCCAAGACTTATCACAACACCACAAATAGGGCCCTCACGGGACACTGTCCAACTGGAAAAGTGGGTGCAACCGCAATGATACGGTATCCCACGATGTGTCTCGGAGCAGAAGAAGGAACAGGTTGGTAGACAGTAAGAGAGTGACACATAATCAGAAATTATTATAGGGTGATCATAACTCTTCCAATAGAATAAAGTTAGAAGTTCGTCATAAGTAGGTAAATACCTAATGAATGGGATACATACGACTCATTCCCAAATTAAACGTAGGTATTTAAAGTTATTTAGGTATTACCTACAATTGTGCTAGAAACCTGATTTTTGTAAAGTAAAAACGTAACCATACTAAATAAATTGCGTCAATTCGATAAGGGGACTCTTATAATATCTCTACAAAGAAGTCTTCAATTCAAATCAATTTACGTAATTACACTTCGTTGACCTGCCCCTGCCTCTGAGAGTGTCGAGAGTCGAGAGACGCACGGGCATTGTCAGTGCATGTACAACTGCAATACTTACATCTGAATAAATATCACAAACTTAATAGGCTTGCACTAAGTACCTGCTAGTCCATAATTATGCATCCTATTCGTATTCGGAGAAACGTTTCGAATTATAGCATATTGTTAACAAGCAATCTTTTTATTTTGTTAAAAAAAGTCCAGGATTTTATTTAAATTATATATTTATTTACTACAATATTGAAATTTCATTAAATTAACACGATTTTCAATGAAGGCTGATTCTCGACTGAATATACTTAATGCAAAAAGATTATAATTTCTCAGTTTCCAGTAAAATGCATAAGTAGTTGCACTATGACGCTTGCCGATCGGTGCTGCATAGTCAGCGTAAACGTAGGTTGTTTACACCGAGTTAAGGTTAGCGGTCAGTGTCAGGAAGGTTACATCACACAGACCTGAAATACCTAACAATTTGTGGATCACACAAAGTTTTACCGTGCGGGAATCGCACCCGCGACACATTGCACGGCAGCCGGTTTTCCAGTCCTTCCATCTTATTTGAGTAGCTTCCGTCCGCGTCTTCGCACGTGTATATGAGTACCTATGTAAACCGGGATTCAAAGTGATAACGACATAAAGTACTTACGTTAAAACAAGTAGGTACCTATAATGTTATAGTTTATAACACTCAGAAACATTGCAGCTATCTATCAGTAAAAGAATGTTTAAAATTCGACCAGCTCTTCCAAAACCAAACCAACATACACCACCGGTTTCCGAAAGGCCGATCAATGTTAAAATCAATTTAATCTCTTGTCAAGTCATCTGATTGGTTGACTGAATTATCAACAACCAATCAGATCACTTGACAAGAGATTTAACAGGAGATTAGTTAATTTTAGCGTTGACAAGCCTTTCAGAAACCGGGTGACAGTCTTCCAAATTTATAGTAGGATAAGTGTAGATTATATGTAAATAATACACATAGTTATAATCTATGTACAAACACATGGTATCTACACATACCTATACTAGCTACCTACTCTTGTGTTTTCTTCCGCCACTCAGTTCCTACAGGTCGAAGCGTGATGTTTTAGAGGTAGCCTGGATTATATATAGGCTTTAGTACCTAGTTTGATAGATCTAGACTACTAACACCAAAACAATTGTTTGCTTCCGCAGATTAGCGCATTCAAACCAAAAAACACTACAGCTTTATCCCATAGAGATGTTTAATATAAACAATAAAATTTTATTTTACCATTTATTGTTCCAAAGAAATATTAGGTACCTACCCCTTACAGATTAAGTGCACCTTCTTGGACATGGCATCCACTTATTACCCGGGCACATTGTTATAGCAGTCTATAACAATGTGCCCGGGTAATAAGAGTAAGTAACTTCTCAAAAAGGGGTCTTACCACTGGGTTACCCTTTTTGAGAAGTGGCTTGAGAAACGCCACGGCGTCCTCACGTGACAAGTGTCGTCATTGTGAGGACCATTCAGAGGACACGGTGGAGTTTACTGTGGCGGTGTGCCCTGCTTGGGCTGAGCACAGCCGTGTCCTCAGGGAAGAAATCGGCGGCAGCGACCCTTCGCGCCCGGCCTTAATCGAGGCCATATGGTGCGAAGCGAGAGGAACTAGGAAGACGCTTTCTCTTTATGTGAAGCAGTACCTAATGCTCGCAAAGAAAGATATATATCAAATAACGTGATTCTTCCTCACAAAAAAAAAAAACAGTCATTACCAAAATTTAGTTATGCTGATGTTGCATGTCCAGCTTTAAATAATTTTATTAGGTGTTAGTAAAAATATTGGACATGACTCTTTTGGAAAACGCAAACATCACGATGTTTAATGTTTTACGATGTCGGTAGTCTACCGAACGTGCGATATAAATCTTCCACTATGAATAATCACAATCTATCAATTGCTTGCAGCGAGCAGTGACGTTGCATGTTTATAGTGTTTTATTATGTCAAAGATGACGTTCTGAAGCGTAGGCACAAATTATTCCTTCTTTCATCTTACTGCACACCGCTGCATATCGCTGCTAAAAGGGCTGTAGATATTACATTCATCCTTACATTAGGATTAGGAAATGACTACTTTTTAATAGATATCATTGAGCCACAATTTGTATGTGATAAGGTATCCTATGATTGGATAAACAATAATTTATTTAATTTTTGATTATCCTGTTATATTATAACAATGGTATACAATATATTGTGGTGATCTATTGGCTCTTTGAGGCATGAGGGGACCCTTGGGGTAAAACATGCCATCTTGAATACATCATGTGTTTATAATTTACTAATTTATGTATTTTTTGTGCCCAGATCCTGATGTCTATTGTATTTTTGTTACCATTAAACTAGGGATATATAATATCTGTCTACCTACCTATTAGGTATAATTACAAATAAATAGGTATGATTAACATTAGTAGTGCTTTGCTATAAATACAAAAGGTGATTTTTTCTATTATCTATTGCCATTCAATAGTCATTAAAAATTTGTCCATGAGTTTAAACAAAACAACCGGCAAATGTTTTCTTAAAAGTACCTAATATTAATATCTCTTTTTGCACATATTATTAGAACACAGAACAGATAGATAGATAGACAGAACTAATAGATAGAACCTGTGGATAGAACAGATAGGCTAACCGGGTGGCTCACTTCTTTTGACGAATCGTGGTGGAGACATGCCTTCGCTTGAATTAAATTAGGTAGATATTTTCGAGCTTACTTAAATAGATACCTAGTTCTAAAATTTTAGCCCCAGCTTTCCAAGGAACTCGTACAGTAAGTAGGTAGGTAGCTATTATAATAAATATGAATCGCAAAATGGAATAAATGAATGAACTCGGAATAAGCGCATTAAGTAGGTACAACAAGAACTAGGTACTTAGACCATTTTTGCAAATTCTTCTATTTTAACTTAATTAAATAAGTGCTATGATGTCGCATGGACGGCTCTGTACATTATAAATGCAATAAAGACTGATTTGATTGGATTTGTTGCAATCAAAAGGTTCTTATGACCGAAAATATCGAATAAAAAATTTTTTTTGATAACTTCATGGTAGGACTATTGGGAAATAGTCACCCTTTCGTTGTTAATGAGGTAGTTTATTAGTAGGTATTAATATATAATAACTATTATATTATTTTGAACAATTGCAGTTACACCAGGACCAAGAAAGTACATACCAGACTTGAACGCGGGCGTTACGGGTCGTTCGGGATGGGAAGGTATGAGATGGTACAAATATTTGTTTAAGCCTTTGACTGCCGACAGAAAACTTTTGAAGGCAAATCTTCCGCTAACGGAGGTAACTGGTGACCCCATGGCGGTTAACGTGTTAATACCTGTAAGATTGAGCCTTTTTTCGCATTGCGTAATTTCCGTGGGTCGTTTCCGTACTTGGGCCTGATACATGACTATGCTGGCCCTATTGGCCCAACATGGGTGTTGCAAATATGTCAAAAGGTTCTTCTGACGTAAGTAGTAGACACTAGTTTACTATTGTACGACGTAGACATATGTAGACACTATTTCATTTGAGTTGTCTAAACGCCTGTTGAAAGTTAAGGAGCAAGACGTAGAAGAGGTGAGGAAACGTAGTCGTATTTTTGTTATTTATATAGCTTTATCCTTAGGTACATATAAATAAAACAAAAATAAGAAACTAACTGTGTTGGTATATATGCGTTAAAATTAATTACACAATGAAAAATAATTTTTCATCACCACGGCAGTTCCGAGCCGTCATAGTTAAGGAACTTTCCAGTATCTGCGTCAGAAAGTTTATTTATGGTGTCAAATATTCCCGAAACACTAGTTTCAACATCGAGATGCGCATTCTTGCCCCCCATATCCGTCTTGACCCAGCCAGGATGCATCGATGCTACTAGAATATTATCTTTTTTCAAATCGACACTCATCGATTTCGTGGCTGCATTCAAAGCTGCCTAAAATAATAAAGAATATAATGATGAATTTAAGGCACGTGTAGATATTACATCAGTAGTAAGTCATGTATTGATGACAAACGAAAATGCACTGCACTTTTTTTTATCAGCTATTTTTGATTTCTTTTTTATTAAATTAAAAGATCTTTTTGACTTGGCATAATAGGTTTTAGGTTTTTGTTTACCTTAGAACACCTGTAAGGATAAAAGCCACCTTGATCATTTTGTGCAATAGATCCGAGAATCGAGCTCATGTTAATGACCGCGGCACGATGGACTCCCATTGGTTTCTCATTATTAGCTTCCGCAGCTTGTTTCAGAATGGGCAGTAAAGACTGAAAAGATAAGAGTAATAGTAAACACCTCATTAGTTGGATGACTGGCAATGAGGTAATGAAAATGCACGAACCTTTGTGAGCATAATTGGAGCAATGGTATTGACGGTTAAATTGTCCAACAATTGTTCAGCTTTCACGTATGGCAATTTAGTGAACTTTGTCGTAACACCAGCATTGTTTATCAATAGGTTCAGCCCATGTTCGCCAACTATTTTACTTATTTGTGAGGACACTTCATCGAAACTAGATGTGTTCTTGACATCTAAAAATTAAAACCATAAATATGAATAAAATTGTGTAATAATTAATCAGTGCTAACGATACGTAAATGATTTACTTGTTCATCATAATCATCATAAGCCAGAAGAAGTATGTGGTTTAAAATAGGCTTCCCCTAATTATTTTCAATTATGGTCGAATTATCAAGATAAACTTTACTCGGATTGCCAAACCTCAATCATTAAGAAAAATGATTTATTTACCCAAATTCAAAATAACCAGGTTTTTATTTGCTGCAGACAATGTTTTTAGTTCCTGAAAACAGATAAATGATTTGATTAAAAAGAAATCAAGATATTTGTTTTACAAGTTAAGTAGTCTTATTATTATATACTCATGCTCGTATAATATGTCTCAATAGTTTTTAGTAAATTATCATCGTTGGTGACATCACCGAGAAAAGTGGTACGTCACCATCACAGCACTATTTTCAATGTCATTCGATGACGTCACCTATCGAGCCCGTTCAGTTGCTGTCAAACGAGACTGGAACGCTATCTCTTTCCCACAATCGTGTTGTTCACTTGCTACAAAAACCACTTTACGCCTTTGGACGTATAGTATTTGATCGTAGGACTCCGTGCATTTTCCGTGCGCTGTTATTACAACCAACAATTGACAAAGTGTGATTATAAACTTGTGTTTCTACAAAATTTGCAGTGATGGCACCTATAGGTCAGTAAGAATAAGAAGTAAAATTAGCATACATACCTCGGACACGGTCCGGCACGTCGCGATTATATTCTTTGCCGTGTTCTGTTTAGTGAGATATTTCACCATCCCGAGGCCGAGGCCCCTGTTGGCTCCGGTGATCAAAACCGTCTTCATTTTGTGAACTGAACTTTAGTAATAACGCCTTGACATTTATTGAAACTTATCTTTACAACCCTCAAAGGTTCGGTGTGTGTATTTTCTTGTCTCTGTCACATTTTCGCACGTAACTTACGTCAAAATGACAATCCTAAGTAATTTTGTAAGGATAAATATTTTATTAAAACCTTTAATAAAATCAGACAGAGTGTTGATATTGGCACAACGGACTCTTAGTTCTCGTAAGTAGTCCACGATTGTCGATGTTATAACCTTGAAGTGCAGATAATTGTCTAACCTCACTCTTGATTGAGCAACTCGACTCATACAACCCACTTTTTGTAACAATTTTTTACTAGAGAATTACTAAATAATTATGTTGGATTTAATTGTTAATCTCTTGTTTTTCGAAGATGAAAATGTTCTAGAAAAGTCTCTTTTTTGAGGAACATTAAGCATCCTTGGGATGGTGGAATAAATATAAATGTTTTAAAACAATGTACAATTGCACAATATTTTATGTAATTTTGTATCAGCTTATAGTAATAGTTAAAAGCTATAATCTGTGTAATGTAATGTTCTGAGCACTAAATTGTCAACCCTTTATGACCATAGTTAATATTTATCCAACAATTCTCCCTGCCAGGTTCATAAGAATATTTACTGACAAAAGTCTTTATAAAACCATTAACTATGTTCTTCAATTTGTAATAATATATTCTAACTAATATAAAAAAATACTGCAAAATGTGTTGTCAAGAAGAGCCTAATAGTTTTCATATTTTGCTAAGTACTTGCGTTTGATATTATCAGTAGTATATTTTTATGAAAATAATATTAGAAAAGTAGATTGGAAAATTAGAAAAGGGAAGTATTTTCAACGTGGTTCACTAACAAAACAAGTGTAATAATGACAGTTATTTGTATATCATGTGGAGCAAGGGTGTGCTGTGTTAGCTTTACATAAATGTAGCATATTAGTAATTCTGTGAGTTGGTTTAGCTAGATACGAACATAGAATACAATTGTACGTAATCATTGTGCTACAGTTTAAATTTGTTTGGTGATATCAGGCTTGCTGTGTTGTAGCCGTAAGAGCAAGTCAGTTGCTCCTATAGACAATACCCCTGAAGGTATGAACACTCCAACATTGCAGTAATATTTGTTGTGCACCATGCTGTTGCATTGGGAATACAAAGGCAATGGTTATAAAATGGGTTGCTATGAGCGTTTACAGTTGTTGAGATGTCTACAAAACTAATTGTCTACACTTTCTACATAAATGCAATGTTCACAGGGAATGGTACCAAAACATCATCAATTGCTTGAAAAAAATTAAAGCTTTCTGTTGTCATTTTATTAATAATAGTAAGTTTTTTATTGTGACTTATTGAAAAATATTTTTAACTGGTCTGAGAATCTTATTGGAGTCTGATTAGTTCCCTGCAATTTATTCAGCTAAAGTGAAATCTGAAATCATTAATGTACTCATAAAACACAAAAGTGTAATAAAATTCTTGTAGTAGTAACTTGTGAGTAACTACACAATATATTATAATGTGAGTGTATGTGCAACTAGTTTCTGTTTTGTCTATTTAGAATATTTTCATAGCACTTCTCTAAGTGACTCTCATACAACTTGTATAAGTGTCACTATTTCATGCATCAAATGCTGGCTTCCTTATAAGTTGCAAGACTCCAAATATGCAGAATTTGTTTCAATAATGATATTCAAACTGACAAGAATATTATGCTTATTATAGATGGAAATTTCGACTATGATTTGGCGGTTATTGGTGGTGGTTCGGGTGGTCTTGCTTGTGCGAAGGAGGCCGTGAACCTGGGTGCGAAGGTTGCAGTGTTAGACTATGTGACACCCTCGCCGCAGGGCACCAAGTGGGGACTTGGTGGCACCTGCGTCAATGTAGGCTGCATACCCAAGAAATTGATGCACCAGGCAGCACTTTTGGGAGAAAGCATTCACGTAAGTTACTTTTTCTTTTATTAAGATAAGATTTAAATATCGGGAATGAAAGTTAAGTTTATTAAATAATAATTTTTATTATATTGCAGTGTGTAAGTTTCATGATATATCCTCCATCCTTGTCTGCTATATGAAAAGCTGTCCTATATGAGCTAACTAATGGACTTGTTTTTGGTTATATATTTCTTTCATCTTATTTTGTAGATAAAAAAACCAGACTATATAATAGAAATTGGTATAGTAGAAGTGCCCCTAGAATATTTTTGTAGATACTAGTGTAGCTAATTGTGATATTATAAGTTACTCAGTCAAGTAAATTTATTACAGTTTTCTCTATTTACTACATAAATATATTTTTACTTTTCTCCCAGATAAAAACTTTATCAAGCTGATAAGGTACATAACATACATGTACAGCTAGTATCAATTTAGAATAAATTGAAAAAACTCCTTGCTGATCATTATTATTTAGGGACTGCAACAAATACACTTCTTGTAACCCAATACCAATACTTGTCTCTGTAGACTGTAGAGCAATGCGAAAGCCGGAGATGCTCCATTGAAAACAATCAATGTTGATAAAATTTAACAGCAACACGTTTCTTCATAAAGATAAAAAGAAGTACAGACTAATGATGGCGGGAACATTTTTCACGAGTCATTGTTTCGCTAACAATTGCTGGCCGGTTGTCATGTCTGCCTTATCTCCGTTTCACGCCAGAACACAAATAGCGGTAAAAAGTACGCAGGGAACTAAACAGCTATGAATGATTGTGCATTGTTTTAAGCAAGCAAGCTGCCCATATTTGAATTTGGTTCAATTCAGTTTGCTTAAAAACCGACATAAGACCACACATTCGTAATGTTATGCTGTGTGATTCCGGCTACCGAGGGCCCAATCCTTACTCCCTAAACTACCAAATTTTCTAATCCCAAATGCACCAATCTCCACTTTCCCGACTCGAAAGGTCTGCTCTTTTACGCCCCTTACTTACATACACCGAATTAGGTTTAGAAAATGATGGTAATAGACAACTATTACCATCAGTCCTTGCAGAATCCCTAACAGCTCAACTATTAAGTAATATAAACATATGCAGCAATTACAGAATCTTCACGTTTCGAATAATTCTAATACTCTAATTTAAATTCAACTTAAATTTTACAAAACCACGATTTCTAACTAAAATCAGAAAATACCACTTCCCTTTATCAAATTAATAAAATACTTAAGTAATTTCAATCTTAATCTATGAAAGACTCGTTGGATAATCTTTTTTTGTATGATCTATCTTTTAATTGTAGATAATTAATTATATTTAAAATCCTTATATTAAACTGAACCTGGATATAGCGTTGCTATAACTAGATTCTAGCATCTAGAAGCGTCTATTCTTGGCCTGCTCAGACATAAATAGCGGGTGGAAATTGGAAACCTATTGCCCACGCATAATGAAATATTTAGACTTGATTATCGCTATCAATAATCACTAACATGCTTCACTGCACATTGTAAAAACTTGTTTATTGAATTAAACATTAATATTCCCTGCTGAGAGATATATTTGGAAATTGCATTGTCATCTTTATCAGCCTGAAGCCTTTTAGAGAGGGTTGCTATAATCGCTACGCTTGGTAGGCCGAACAATTAAAGAACGCCTGTCTTTTTTCTCGGTAACTGTTCGCATATTAAGATATATATCCGAACTAAGTTATTAAAGGAATAAAATTGTATGTTAAACAAAGACAGTTCAAACAAAAAGTTTAAAATGTAGCAGCGTGTTTAGTTTTCAGATTCACTGTACAGTTCAGCCGGGGTTGCGGGGCAAGCGCAATAAGGCACCGCGGCCTCGGAATAACATACATACACTCACTCAACTTTCACATTTATAATATTAGTACGATTTTCACACGACCATTTTCGCACACATTACCTACGCTTTAAGTACATATACCTACATTTAAGACTTTCACTAAACTGATCTCTATTATCTAAATTAATACTGTATAAAGAGAATGATTTTATTCGGTGTATATAAATATAGTATTTTGTCGTAACTTTAAAAATTCTTCGTAACATAAATAAGTCAGAATAATGATTTTCTTATGGTTCCAGCCAGGAACATGTTTTATAAAAATGACCAACTAGTTGGTCGTATCGAAACATTGCTTTTGTTACATTGGCCATGTAAATAATCGCAAAATTCGTTTCACTAAATTGTGAATAAGATATAGGTAATTAAGTGAATTGTTACAAAACACTTATGGTGTCTTTTGAGCGAAAATAAAAACTAGGAACTAGGAAACTAAGTAACAAGTTTACAAAATTTTCTAGACACGTACTTACTTAAACTCTAGTCTTTGTTCCCTCCTACCACGGTCTATGATTGCACACTTCTTTAAGTCTGCACGTCCTGGTTTTACATTTGACACCATACGACACGAAACTACTAGTGTGTCTTTAATTATAGTAAACTAGCGACATGCCTCGAATACGCACGGCTGCAATGCTGATACTAAAATTATCCACTATTCAATGGATGTACACATACATATAAACCTTCCTCATTCAATGAGTGATTCAAGGAGTATCTTAATGAAAATACCAAATCAAAATCTGTTCCGTACATAGGAATATAGGGACAGAGAAAGAAACTTTATTTTATTTATACCATATTATAGTAAATATATGAAACCGATTGGCTTCTGACACACTACGCCACGCCATAACAATCTATTTTTCTCTTTTTCCATTTCTGGATATGCAATTTATATGGATTTAGTTTTATTCTATTGTTCTTCTAATGGAATATGGATAGAACTGATAACGAATGCTAATCACTTTATAGTTGCTTTCTCTGTCCATATATCCCTATGTATGCTTAAATCTTTAAAAATGCGCAACGGATTTTAATACGGTGCGCTTTAATAGATAGAGTGTTTTAAGTGGAAGGTTTTTATGTATAAAAACATCCAATAAATAGTGGAGAAATTAAGTATACACATTGCACCCGTGCGTAGCCTGGGTAGATCGCTTGTATAAGTATAAAATAAATCTGTCTATGAATTATTATTGAATACTATAGCTACTGTTCTGCGGATTCACCCGCTCGCGCTGCTTGGTTCCTACATATCGTAGCGTGATGTTTTATAGCCTTATAGCCTTCCTCGATAAATGTAAGAAGCGCGTTCAAACAAACAAACAAACTCTATAGCTTTATGATATTATAAGTATAGATCAATCTAGAATTATTAAACCTAGGATAGGATGACATTTCAAAGATGGGTCTAATATCTAAACTGGTTTGCATAAGTTGAAATTGTGTCATGAGTGTGCATTTTGTTTTCGATAAAACCTTTTTTAATATGTGCATGTCAGATTAAATATTGTATTGTCAATGATACGTATATGATGATGGTGCTATTAAAATATTTTTAATGTCTGTAAGTGACGAAGATATAAGTACCTATGAACCAAAGAAACAAACTCATCACTTTTATTACTATGATTTTAACATGTATAGTTTTATTTTAATTGTCGGTTCTGCGGTCTATCATTTACCTTGTCCATTAATTAGTTTAATTAATCAAACCACTGTTCGTGGGGTGTGAGTATAATTGGGCTGTTATTTTGTTAAGGAAACCTATCATAACTGTCTCCGTCTTATGTAATTAGTTCAATTGGTTACGGTAACTAGTGTATTATTACTCTATTAACACAGATTACTTCATACCACTATCTATTAAGAGCCGTCTGTCTTACTTGTAGCACTAAACTCCTAAATGGCTGGCTGTATTATGAATTGACTTCATTTTGTTAGATGCATCATTGGATCGTGTCTATTATACTTGTAAATGAACGTTTTTCAGACGGCGATTGATTTTATCAAAATGAATGTACTTAGTCGTTATAATTCAAGGTTCAGTGATACATACGTACGTACAGACTCATTCAGCCCACAGCAAACTAATTTTATTTTTATAAATTGGTTTATTAGTCAGAATATAACACAATAATTTAGTGATAAATCAATAATGTTTTTGACAAATACGAGGCAGGTTTGGGGCGACACGACTCGAGGTTAATCATAACCTCAGTCGATAGCTTCACAAGGCCGCTCTGCGATCGATCATATATAATGGTCAAGTTATTTACCATTCATATAACTTATAGCTTTAGTTACTAACCTAACCGATCAATAGCAAGGTGCTTATGAATGTTCTCATACATTTTGTATGAAGTACACTCGACACAGTGTTAGATAAAACAATGTGGCATTAGTATAAACATGTGATTCTTTAATGGTTGTGTGTTTGCTCTTTCCTATTTCTAGCCGTACCTAGTTGTACTTGTTTTAATAGTAAATGTATCCCCAGATAAGTAGTATTAAGTATATTGATTTGATTAGTTTATTATTAGCAAAGTATTTCGTTCGAACGGAACAGTCGTTACAGTCAAATTAGGGCTTCGTTATCTGGGATTATGATATAAGAAGTTATCCAAAAACTCTAGTCGACCGTAGACGGTATTAGCCATTTCAGAATCTAGTCGAGATCTTCGTCCACACTTATTTTGCACTCATAGTTCCTATAGGTTATATCCATAATTGGATAACGCACCATTCTAAAATTTACTGTCGGCTCTGCTACAAAATATCAGAAAATAGCATGTCCTATCTCTGTTGGCATTTCCAAAAAATAAAGTTTTTCATATCAATTTCCGTTCACAATATAAACGCAGTCACTATTAATTTAATGCTGATTATCATTCAACGATTCATCAATATTGCAAGTCATGGTTCGTGTGGAATTGCACTCGGTATTCTTAGCAGTTAATAACGTGAGTCACTCTAAAATCTCCTATCCTGCAATGAGTGTGACATCGTCATCATCATTCAGTGAACGAACCATGCCATAGGTAGGTATTGTACGTACTGCTAATTGTATTAACACGCTGATGTTATTGTATCACAACGTCAACATTACATATATAATTGAATACGGTGACTGATAATGAAATAATCACACTTGGCCAGCTATTTATGATATCTTATCAATTTTGGAGTTCTTCATAATTTGGAGAACAACGGCTTTCGCTTTGTTGTACAAATTAGGCTGTAAACCTTTATATTATTTATAATAACAGGTGATTGTAAAGAATAAATTAATTTCTTGGAATACATAATTCGTATAAACAAGATTCCGCCCGTCATGTGTCGATAAAAAGCCTATGTGTTAATCCGGAATATCACTTACATACCAATCGGTTCATCCGTTTTTACGTGAAAGAATAACAAAAATACATCCACACATTATCCCAAACTTTCAGATTTATAAATAATATTGGTAGGATTGGTAGGAATTACTAGGGTTAGTAGGACTAAAATGTTCATAGTAGGTTAGGTACGGAAGCGGAGGGCCACAGGCAAGCACTTCATAGGCCCTAAAATTTTGAGTATGGGATCCGCTTACGTTTTCGTACGGATTGCAAGTCCCGTCCCTGCCTGGCTCTTGCCTAGTTTACCTTAGGGATGATGGGGCTCTGCGTAGTCTATAGGTACATTTATAGCATAAATACGTACTGAAACAAAGTAGACATTGGTAGGTATATTTACGTAGCGTATCTTAAAAAATATCTATTATCACAATTCGATTTGTAGAAGAGTTTTAGAAATATGTGATAAAGTTTTTCTTATTATCAGCATAGCAAGTAGCTTGTATATCTGAGGCTGAGCTGAACATGTATTTACACATTGTTTTAATAAATATTACAGGAAGCCGTATCTTACGGCTGGGAAGTACCGAGCCACCAAGATATCAAAATCAACTGGGGATCACTCACAGAATCTGTACAGAACCATATTAAATCCGTGAACTGGGTAACGAGGGTTGATCTTAGAGATAAGAAAATTGAATATATCAATGGATTGGGAGAGTTTAAGGACGCGCACACGATTATAGCGACGATGAAGAATGGGTCGAAGAAAGAGCTGACGGCGAAGAACATAGTGATAGCAGTGGGCGGGCGGCCACAGTACCCCGCCATCCCCGGCGCCATGGAGTACTGCATCAGCAGCGACGACATCTTCAGCCTTAGCCACCCGCCCGGCAAGACGCTCGTCGTAGGAGCTGGATGTATCCTTTTACACATAAACACCCTACCCTTAATACCAACAGAAGTTCTTACTTTTCTTTTTGTGTTAAAGTCCAAAATCGCTATTATATCATCACAAATTCAAACGTCTTACTTACGAGTATAAATAAATATAATCTAAATTACATTCGGTTACTATCAAGATAACCTGGCAACATGTAACTACTTATGTTACCAGTCTCGACTCTCCATGCGTCCTATATCGGTTTCCGCCTCATTAACTTGATGACCAATAATAGTCACGTTGTGAGGAAAAACTATGCGAGAATTATGCACGCAGCGCAGCAGAGTAGAATACCTTTTGTTATTAAATATATTTTTACTACAAATATTAGTTTTTACTATCGGTATGTTATATATTTTATACTAATATGCCACAAAAGACCGACCGAGATCCGTATCATTTTAATATAGCTTGGATATTTATTTAGCGTCCATGAAATCTTGGCAACATTTTCTTAACTGTACTAAAAACAGACATTGGTTTGGAATGCGCGGGTTTCTTGAACTCGATGGGCTACCCGGCTACAGTGCTGGTACGCTCGGTGCCACTGCGTGGCTTCGACCAACAGATGGCGCGCATGGTCACCAACGAAATGGAAGAAAGGGGCGTCAAGTTCCAGCATAAGTGTGTACCTATATCCGTTGAGAAACTCGAGTCAGGACAGCTCAAGGCTCGTTGGCTGAACACAGAGCTGCAGGAACAGTGAGTACCTATAGACAATCTTAATTTATTTTATGTTTATTAATATTGCCAAGATCTCCCAAATTACTTATTTTTCTCAAACAAGACTAACATACCCAATTTATATCCTATATTTAATTTGTATCTTATATAAAATTGCTCGATATTTTCCAGGCACGAGGATATCTTTGACACAGTACTGCTCGCAACCGGACGATACGCTCTCACTAAGTCACTCAACCTGGATGCCGCCGGAGTAACTGTGAGTTATCATAATTTGAAGTATATTACCTTGGCGATAAGGCTTATAATCCAAAGATTTATTATCTTCTATGAGTACTTAATGTACTTTATAGTGGTTTTGAATGTAGTTAAGTACATATTATAAAAGTTATTAATATGTATGAAAACAGACCTTGGTAATATTGCTATCATTAAAAAGTAATTAGTATGCATCTGGGCTGGGTCACAATTTAAACAAAAAACTTGATGATCGCCCAGGGAAATGCACCTCCACAGGATGATGTGTTGTAATATTGATAAATTTTCTATGTATTTCCTTTCTACGAAATTGATATGGAAAAGTATTCTAGTCATGTAAGAAGGGGCAGTTTTTGTTCATTATTAGGTACATTACAATAAAAACTCGGTCAAAAAATATTTTAAAGTTTTTGAAATAAATTGTCGCATAGTTATCGCTATTTAATAATTAGAAATAATTTCGTAAAAATAAACGAAATGCTTTATCTCAGTACCCAAAATGATAAAGTTTGTTATTAATTAATTTTGCCAGATTAATATTGAATTTAAGAAACACATTTACACCCTGTTTCCGAAAGGCCGATCAATGTTAAAATCAATTTAATCTCTTGTCAAGTCATCTGATTGACTGAATTATCAACAACCAATCAGATGACTTGACAAGAGATTTAACAGGACATTAGTTAATTTTACCGTTTCAGAAACCTTTTAGCCTTGCTTTAGTAGTATTAACCGGTCTTAAATGAACGGTTAATTTATTTCCATTAGTCATAATTGTCAAATTTACATACATATGTTTAAAAAAATGTATTGTATTTGGCAACATCTATTATTAAGGACTAGTTCACCCGTGTAATATACATAAAGCCTATGTTCACCTGGTATAGTGCAGCTTACCGTCAAATAATAGAGGAACTTATTAAATACAAACAATAAAACCTTTTCTTCATTTCTTCTAATTTTTACATAGCTATGAAAACTTGTAATTGGCCTTATTCATGTTATTTACAAACGAACTTGATCAGCAGTAAGTTTTCCTAAAACTTATAAAAAAAATAAAAAAAAAATAATAAACTCTCTTGTATAATAAGAAATCTATGACGCAATATAGTACCGTACAAACGGATATGAAATAGTTGTAAGATTGATATAATGATTATCTTCGTTATCACGTAAATAAGTGGCCTCGGCTCATATCAATGTTATAACATATTCCGGTTGTTTTAGGTATAACTAAGTTCAATTAGGTAATTTATTTTAGGTAGTGGTACATAGTCTAGATGATACGGTATAATTTATGGTTGTCACTGCACCCAAGTTTTGTGGAGCGAAGTCAAGAAAAGATTTGATATTTTGCTGTTTGAGACTACCTACTTCAGAAAAGTTGTTATGATTGACAGCTAAATTATAAGTAATCCTTAATATTTATTAATAATTGCTTTATATTAGATAGATAGATGAGACATTTGCAAGATAGAGAACATCGCACCAATTGCACCAATATTCAACATTAAAGGTTGATTTTTCAAAAGTTAAAAATTGCTTAGGTTAAAGTTACCAGGGGAATAATTATGATGCTGTCGCATCAGAATGTTTGTATAAGACAGTGACAGCAACCATTTTATTCCTCGGATAACATTTGAAAACTATTGAAAAATCAGCCCTAGATAGTAGTAGGTACTATTATAAGGCATTTTTGAATGGAATAAACAGTTTATAAATATCAGTCTGTTGGTTAGTTATTTAGTGAAGCTGTTATAAACATTAGTGTACTACTGAACATTCTATATAGCTGCATTTTATTAATAAAAAAAAGCGAATAACAAAATTTTCTTGTTTTAGTGCATCACGTCTAACGGTAAAATAGCAGCGGAGACTGAGCAAACGAACGTGCCTAACATCTACGCAGTGGGCGATGTACTGGAGGGCCGACCCGAGCTGACCCCCGTGGCCATCCACGCGGGCCGTCTGCTGGCGCGCCGCATGTTCGCGGCCGCCACCCAACAGATGGACTACGAGAACGTGGCCACCACTGTCTTCACTCCGCTGGAGTACGGCTGCGTTGGACTCAGCGAGGAAACTGCCACTGCCAAGTTAGTATTATTTAGGATACTGGATTTATATTCGTGTATGTCTGAGGGTCTGGGGTCATGCATAGCATAAAGTCAACGATAATGGTTAAAGCTGTCATAATGTATGCTACTCGTATTAAAATGCTTTCCTTTTATTAAATCCTGAGCTTGCCAGAACATAATAGCTGCAAGATGTTTCTTTACCTATTATTGTCTATTACCATATTTCTTCTTTCGGTTGTATTCTTTGCTTTGGCTCACCTCCGTAACATTCTATAATTTATTGTTTTCATATTATTTTTAGTCAAAGCTATATTGTAGGAAACTTCGTCAAAAAGATCGTATTATACATCAGGCGATAATTTGATGCGGAATTAATTAAAAGTCAAAACATTTATTTCAAATAGACCACTACAGGTAATTTAATTGACAATGACAAGGATTAAGTGCAGCAGTTAATAATAACTACATTACTAATAAATACATTTTAACTTTGCAGATACGGTGCAGACAACCTGGAAATATACCACGCTTACTACAAGCCGACGGAGTTCTTCATCCCTCAGCGTAACATCAAGAACTGCTACCTGAAGGCGGTGGCGCTCCGTGAGGCGCCGCAGAAGATCCTCGGCCTTCACTTCGTGGGGCCAGTCGCCGGAGAAGTCATACAGGGATTCGCTGCCGCTATCAAGTATGTATTGCATCATCACCACGCAACTTATCAATTAGTCTAAATGATATCTTAAAATTTTTGGCCAGTTTCATAATATACAAATTGGAGTAGAATAAAAACGGTCAAAATCCTACATCAATCGTATTAATAACTAGCTATGTACTGCCGCGCGGTTACACCCGCTGCTCGGCTCTTATTGTTCGTATGGCGATATGTTTTATAGCCTATTGCACGTAGGAACATTGAAGCTGTATCACTATATTTATCTGAAAGAATTTTGGAAATCGTCCAGCGGTTCCAAATATTGTCCCTACACACAAACTTACAAACTTTATCGCTTATATTAGTATACATACATAGATACAAACCATTCCTTCCAAAAGAGCATAAAACACAAAATCACTAATTTCTCTATGTATTTATTCCAGATGCGGCATCACAATGGAACAGTTGATGAACACAGTGGGCATCCACCCGACGGTGGCGGAGGAGTTCACGCGCCTCAACATCACCAAGCGGTCCGGCAAGGACCCCAACCCCGCGTCCTGCTGCAGCTAGAGAGCTCGACATCTCGCACCAACACAACAAGATCACCCTAACTAATCATTCTAACTTATATTGTTAACATATTAGATGGAGTAAGAAGCAGCATATTATAAAAAATATGTACATATAAAATTTCATACTGATCAACCAACACCGTCTTGTTGATCTAATGAGTCTAAAATTATAATTGGTTATTACTTGAAAAATATATAGTAGCACAATTTGGTATTAGGCCTAGTTGTGGTGATAATTTCGCTGTGTCTATAAGATTAGCATAAAGTATACCCACTTCATGCTAGTATTTTAATTCGTGCACTTGTGCTAACTCAGTCAGGCAAAAAAGTGATTCCGCTGCTTCTTAACTCCACCGATATTGTTAATAATGATATGTTTGTTGAATATAAGTGATCCTCTCTGGATATTAAAGTAACAGTTTCGATTACTTAAAGAATTTAGCATTTATTGATTTGTTTGAAATTGCAATGTGGAGGGGTAGCATGTATATTGTATGGGTTGAGGAATTTTAATTGTATCACACTCATCACTTACTACAACAGAGATCTTTATAGCTTGTTGGTCACCGCACCGCACCTCCCCTTCCCCTTAAATTACACCTTTTGTATTAACATTTCGAGTGGTCTCCATCTGAAGGACCCTCTCTGTGATAGGACATACAATGTCGAGTAACCTACGATTCGGTGCTTAACGTCTACTTGTATCGATTTACTTTCACTGTTTATAGTACAAATTCTTGGAACATTATAAATTGTTATCGTCTCAAAATATGTAGGAACAAATGTATTAAAGTGTTGTTACTATGATGGAAATAAAATGGTACAGTATTATTGTTATTGTCAGTTGTACTCCACGTGTCGTCGATATAATGCAACATTCCTTTCGTCGCAGTAACAGAAATCAGGTTTCATACATTATGTAATTTAATTTATGTGATTTTGAACTTAATAAAGTGATATATTTTTAATGAAAAGTATTTAGATTGGTTTTGATTATTTTATTGGTTTGGTTGAGACTTAAAACGAGTCCTTAGAGGCGGAATTAATAGTCGGACACAACAAATTAACACATGTTAGGTGTTCAACCTGAAAAGAATTCTATCGCAATTGTGTAAAGTCGGAAACAAATTAGCAGACTTATTCTTCTTATAACTTATGGTCCATCGTTGGTGATGTACTGGTCCATCTCGCTAGTGGAATTGCATTTAAACCAGACCTGCGCCGTCGGCAGTGGGTAGTACTCGTGGGCCTGCACCAGCTCGTTGTCAAACCTCCAGAACCGAGGGCCTTGAAAGAAGTAGGTATCTGGAAATATGTTATCACCAAATTATCATCAGGTTTCCAATTACTGGTTGATTATTTTTACTAAAGTAGGTATTCTCGGCGGCCGAAGGTGCACCGCCGAAGGGTAAGGCAGAAAGAAAACTTTAATTAATGAACCAGTATCAGGACTAGTCAGGAAATAGATTCTCACCTCCCTTCCACACGACTGCAGCGTCCACAGGATAAGGCACCTGCCGCCACATGGACATGTCCTTTGGATACTTGGGGTCCATGGTGCCCGTCCCCTCGTCAAACCGCCAGTACCTCTCCTCCTCGATCAGATACGTTTTATTGTTATAGTTTGAGAGGAACACAGTCGTCAGTTCTGTCACCTCTTTGGGTATTAAGTACTCCGAAATAGACCCTTGTTTGATGAAGTGGAATGAGCTGTCGAACATCCAGTAACGTCGACCTGGAATAGGAAAAAAATATGTTTCATTGGAATAAGTTTGTTGTAAGTGTTTTGAATATTATAGTATTCACGTAGGTTCTTATGTTAACGTGGATGCATATTTTGTTTTTATATTGGTATTGCTAAACTTCTGAATTTAGAGTACCTACGCACATAATCCATACCTAAAAATTATTGTAAAGCTGAAGAGTTTGTTTGAATCTCCGGAACTATGTACTGGTACGAAACACACCAACTGGAAGTATCTACACAAATCATTTAGACTATTAAACCCCACGTTACGATTAGCACGAGTCAAGCTGCGGGAGTAGCTAGTAGACCCTATTCACGGAGTAGAATAAAGTTCTTTGTTCTTACTCCGTGACCCTATTCCATTAGAACGCCCTGGTCGTACGATTAGGTAGTCGCCCAACCATTACATTATCTGCGAAGATATTGGTTACGCTTCTTGTACTTTCGGTAGCCGGTAGGCACAATTATTTTGAAAGAATAAGTACCTAATAGAACATAAAATAATTACTACAGTAGAAAAAAAATTTTACATAGCTACGGTTAACTTGCCTGAAAAAATGAGAACATCTCCGTTCTGTCTCTGATAAATAGTTTTGATGATGTTGACGTTGAGCGGCAGTCCGCGGAAGACGTCGTGGAAGCGCTTCGGGTAGCCTTCCTCCATCTCGTGGCGGTCACGCAGTACCCACACCCACTGGGGATATAAATTGTTATAACTAGGTATTTGTATGCATTTATTAGTCAGGATTGTAATAGCTAAGTACATTTGCACTGTACATAACACACACAAATAGCTTTATTTGACGAAAAACAAATAGGTATGAAGTCAGAATACATACCTACTCTTACGGAGCCACATCCACAGCGTTGTGTTTCGCCGTGTTAGTGAGGTTACCGGAGGCCCAATCTATCCCCCCTCTCCCACCCAATCCTTAAATAACTGAAACCCTTATCCTCAAAAGACCGGTAACGCTCTCGTAACTGTGTCGTGGTGGCCCCGAGGTTAAGCGCACGCTTCTCATGCATGAGAGTGTGGGTTCAAAACCGGGCTAGTACCAATGTGACTTTTTCCTAGTTATATAAATACTTTCTATGATTATTTAGACACCACTGACATGCGGTGAATGTAAACATCGTGAAGAAACCTGGACTTATAATTTCTAATTATAAGTTTGAAATCGCCAACCCGCATTGAGCAAGCGTGGTGATTAATGCTCTAACCTTCTCCATGTGATAAGAGGCTTTTGCTCAGCAATGGGTAATTATAGGCTGATGATGATGCTCTCGTAACTCCTTTGGTAATGCGAATGTCCATGGGCCGCGCCGATTGCTTACCATCATGTTATCCGTTTGGTCGTTTGTCTACCTATCTCATAAAATAATCCTTTTTTACCGTCTTCAAAAAAGGAGGAGGTACTATGTTCAGCTGACAAATCAATTGTTTTGCTCCGACCGAGTACCTACACTAGTCCCGTCCGCCGACCCGCACCCACTGTGGCTGGAGATCTCCCGATTTCCGAAACAGGGAGTTCCTAAAGTAGATACCTAATGTGAAAAGGATTAATCCCAGGCTTAAGTACAGTGGGGGTTCCGGAGTAGGTCTCTTGTAGAGGACCCGGGTTACAGGTGATGAGGGTGGCCACCGGGGTGGTTTTAGTGAGGATACAAAAAAAAGGCTTAGGTACAGACCTCCTCTTCAAAGACAAAGATCTTGTCGTTGATGACCTGCAGCGTGTCATAGTTGGTCAGACACAGGTCAGGCATGTAGTTCTCATCCTCCTCACTGCCAGCCTTCGTGAACCGCGGCACCAAGGATGTCTGCGACACTGGCCCCTCGGTGCTTTCTCCTGACGTCTCCTGGTCTTTTACTGAAAATAGGTAAAAACTTGTAGATAGCCTATGGCCTTTAATATTTTATATTTAAAATAATATGGTCCCTTACTAGTTAGTATATTTTATTATGTTGTTTATATCTTTAATAAACCCACACACGACAAGCCATTTTATACAAAGTGTCACCTTGGGAGAATGTCAAGCTCTTACTGACTTAAAACCACCTCGCTTCTTCTCCTATTTTTTACCTAGTTCTAATTTGAAGACGTTATTTAAACTTACAGTACAACTCTTGCATTCCTAGAATATCATCCATATGTAGCCTCTCAACTGGCACCTGGTAATAGGGGTACATGACTGATAACTTCTCATTGGAGTGAGACAACCCTAGCGCATGTCCTATCTCGTGCACAGCGACAGCAAAGAAGTCCGTGACCTCTTCGTCTTCTTCTTCAGGGTTGTCACCCCATGTTTCTTCGTCATCAAAATGCATAGCTCCGTGTGGTGGAGGGAAGGCATGCGCTACGACATGACCCGGACCGTCAAATGGAAACCTGCGAATTATGTGAATATACCTTGTGTGTTTTTTTTTTTGTTTGTTTGTACTAGCTATACCTACTCGCCGGAACTAATGGTTCGAATTGAATAATTATGTTTGTGGTTGTTAGTCCATTTATCGAGGAAAGCTATAGGCAATAAGACATCATGCTACATGTCTTATTGCCTATAGCTTTTCAAAAGAAGTCGAGCAGCGGGTGAAACCGCGCGAGATTAACTAGTATTACATAAATGTATTCGGGCTCCGGTGAGGCTTGAAATTCGTCGGATATTCCCGAAATAAGTTGTAAATATCTAGGTAAATGTTGGTCTGTCTTGCTAAAGTATCTGCCTAATTAGATAAGTCAAGAGGTACGAATGGAGCTTATGACCGACCAGATGGCAAGCATCTAATATATCTAAGGTTTACACAATAAATACTGGACATACCCGTCCCCATGATCTCCACTCACAAATGAGACTTGTATGTCAGCGCGGCCTTCCTCAATGCGACTGAAGCGTAAGTCTCCGTGTGGCGCCCATATCCCGAGTCCTACCTCCATCCATTCCTCAACTCGGGACTTGTTCATCGTACTGGAACCGTTCACCACTCTAAAACGACAATATAAAGGTCTCTTACTCAAACTTTTATACTTTCCACATTCCTCATTCGTCTACATTTCATGGCCGATTGGGCCGGCTCGATCGGAGTGATACCACGGCCCCACAGAAAACCGGCGTCAAGCAATCTCTGCTCAATCCTCAAATCTTTTACACTAAGTCCCTAATAACCTGCAACAGGCCGGCAACGCACTTGCAGTAACTCCTTTGGTACGAGTGTCCATGGGCGCGCTGATTGCCGTCACGTAATCCGTCTGCTCATTTGCCGACCTACGACAATAACTGCATGGCCACTGGGTGCTGTTTGATTAACCGAACGCAACCACTCTTTGTGTCATCCACAAATAAATCATTATTCCTGGTGTTTGTAAATATTTCCCTTTTCTTTCTTTCTTTCCTTTTTTCTTTCTCACTCTCTCCCTCTCTTTCTTTCTTTCTTTTCTAAATTTTGTATGGTTCTCAACACCTTCATGACACCACACGATATAGTACGGAGAAAATCCTAGAGAGGAGCAAAGATAGGTACCTGTAGGTTATGTATTTCTTGTTCCATGCTTGCTGTAAGATGTACCTCCGACTCCTCGATGATGCAGTAGACGTCTCAATATCTTTCACACCACAACGCTTTTTCTTGAAGAGCTGAAAAAGAAATGTACAAAAATGAAAAATACTTAGGACTTGCTGTAATGAATAGAATGAATTTTCGACTAAAGAAATGGTATTTTGAAAAAGTGCGGTGCCTGTCTTCAAAAAGGTTTTTTTTATGTTCAATGTTGCATGTGCTCCTGAAATGGTTAGAAACTTGGAATTGAAGATTTCCCACCTAAGTACCTAACTGCAAAGACCACAAACAGGTACCTAAATGGGTACCTAAAGGCTTTAGGGTCGGAATGTTCAGATGCCGTCCCAGTAGACACACAATATGCTTCCAAACTATACCTGTTTAGTCTCAGGATCTAAGGTGCCGGTTTCCGGAAGACCAGCAAACGCTTGCATCTTCTTCAGGGCGTCGGATATGGAGTGCGGTGTGTACGCATAGTCGGCCTCATCACCAACTCCTAGATCGTCAGGTGCGGATAAGTAGCCATATTTCTTTAAGAAGGTGAGCTGTGAATAGTAATTTAAAATAATTAGGCATTTTAGTTTTGCTTATTAAGTTTGTTTTGTAGATTATTGAAGCTTAACTTCAACTGGGAATCAGCCGGGATTGTAGGGCAAGCGAAATAAGGCACTGCGGCCTAGAGCAGGAGAAGGAATGGCGGTTTTTATGGGGGTCATTTCATGGTATTCCCCTCACAAAAAAAAAGATTAACTTGGAAAGTCTATTGCGCATTGAGCATAAAACTGCGTGAAATAAAAACTACTATTTCTAAGAGTTCGCCTACCAAGCAAGCAATAACTTACGAAAGATGAACTATATCACATATTGGAATAAATAAAGTCATAATCAATGAAAAAAAAACGAGTAGTAGGTACAACATCGTAACTTAAGATTGGAATGAATTATTTATTTAATTTATTATGTTTCTATCTCTTTTTAACTTAAACTAATTTAGACCGAAAAGAGAAGGAGATATGTACATTGACAGATTAAATAAAAACACGTGGTATAAAAACATTAATGAAAAATCGTCAATTGCCGCGATTTGATCAATACCTAACACCGTTTTGAGAGGGAAAATAATTAAATTTAATAAATATATCAAACAAATGTAATAAGTAGATATGTATAGGAAGTGTAGGCACATTAATTTATCTCAGAGTCACAACACTTTGTTTTGACGACACACTTATTTAGAAATGACACTATAGGTATAGATACACCGACCTCTTCGGGGGTTGGCGGCTTCTCTTCATAGTAGACCGCCTTGGCTGTGACGCAGGTACAGCACAGCAGGCTCAGTATACACAAAACACTCCTGACGATCATGTCAGCGTTGCAGGAATGAGGAGACGATAATGCTCAGCGTTTTGTACTGTTCTGACCTTTGACTGCAGATAGTGAATCATTATTGATGCGTGGTGATCTGGTTAACGACCTTCGGCGGAAGATCTTTACAAGTACACATTGTACTGTTTACAGAATACAATATTCAGAATTTAATCTAGAAACGATCGTGTATAATGTATCTATTTACGTATTGTAAATTTTCTATATGAATGACCCTCTATTTTGAAAAAAAAACTTTATATTTCTTTATTAAATTGTGTGTTTTTTTAAATTTATCAACGTTCTAGATATAGTTACCTACTTAACTAACTAGTGTTTTTTTAATTTGATTCATTCCCCAGTTTTCTCCTGAGTCATGGGATGGTTGCATTTACAAACTTGTTTAACTATTACCTCTATTCTCTGTCTACGCCTATTTTTTACTATTTAGGTACCTGTTGGACAAACGGCTACATACGATAAGGTTATATAATTACAAGGAGGTCTTTTATAAAACTTGTTGCACAATGTCTATGCACTAACGTCAGTTATCGTTAACGTTTTATGTGGGAAAAGGACGTTCAAATTGATAATTACAAATATTTTATATTTTATAAGCTTTCAAGTTTTTCGATCGAATTTCTCAAGTTTTTTTATACGGTGAACTAAGATGTCTCAACCTCATTTTCCTAGAAGCTCGAACAGTATGCCGAGACTGTCCAGTTCTGTGCCGAGATTGCCCAATTCTATGGCGAAGATGTCATTTTCAGATAATGATGCTGGTGATATGTTCAAGCAATACCACAGCCTGTCTCAACACTTTTTTGACAAATTCCAAGGGCAAACTGGTAGCACACCAATTATACAAAAACCGGCTCCTTTTGTAAGTTTATACTGCTTTAATAACCCATATGTAGATATACCTAGGTACTTAGCTTTTGAGCACCCAATATTTTGCTGCTGCATTACTTACAGTTTTATTTCGATAAACTAGCAAACGTTATAACAGAATAATTTTAACAGTTAAATAATTAATTTAATTAGAACTTCCACGTTGATTATTCTTCGATAACCAGACTCACATGACAAAACACCAAACTGCGTTATTTCATGCCGGTTTTCTGTGAGGTTGTGGTATCAGTCCGGTCGAGCCGATCCATTAGTGGGGCTGGCGAGGGATAGGCACAAATTCATGTTTGTTTGATTTCTTATAGTATTCATGTTTATTCTTTAATAAACCGTTAATTTAAGGGATTTAAATAATTATAGACCTTGAAAGGTAACGGCAGTGATGGGTGACTAGGTAAAAACTTGTTGGAATAAATAACAATTGGTTAACAAAGTATGGGAGAGACAAGCTTCGGCACGAATGGGTCGGCTCGACCGGAATGATACCACGGCCTCACAGAATACCGGCGTGAAACAACCACAACGTTGTGTTTCGCCGTGTGAGTGAGGCCCAATCCTTCCCCTTCCCAATCCCTCCCCAGTTCCTAAATCTCCAAATCCCTAATCCTTAAAAGGTCGGCAACGCACTCGTAACTTCTCCGTTACGGGTGTCCATGGGCGGCGCTGATTGCTTAACATCAGGTAATCCGTCGGCTCGTTTGCCGACCTATTACATAAAAAAAATGCCGGAGGCCCAATCCCCCCCCCCCATTCCCCTATCCCTTCCCGATCCTTATATCCGCAACCCCTATCCCCAAAAGGCCGGCAACGCACTCGTAACTCCTTTGATGTTGCGGGTGTCCATGGGCGGCGCCGATTGCTTACCATCAGGTAATCCGTCTGTTCGTTTGCCGACTTATACCATAAAAAAAAATGTCATGACATATTGTTATAAATGCCTCATATTTATTTCAACGTTTATGTGAGGCGTTGAGTTGTGTCAATGAAACTGTGTTCTACACTGGACCACTTGTTTCTAGTTTTATAATGATATAAATGATATCGTGCGTTAGCTACCGCTTTTAAAAAATAACTTATTTTTAAGGAGGATTAACTATACATATTGTGAAACTGCAATGCTTTGTTCGTGATGTCACCATTTTGTACCTAGATGTCAGATACGACATATAACTTGTTTACGACCGACGTGTTATTTACAGTCGTGTTGTGTGTACTTTCGATATATTATTTTATTGTTATATACCTATACATATATTAACTGAAAATGGACACTGCATCTATTGTGTCCTCGCCTCGCAGCCATAGCTGTTCGTTCTCAGAGCCTACAGCTGGCAGTTCTAGTGAAGAGACCTCAATGAGGAGGCAGAACCCGAAAATTAAAAAAAAAATGAGCTTCGACAGCGGTAGTTACATCAAAAGACGCACCAATAAAGTTTCTCCTTTTGTAAATCAATTTTATTCTATTTTATAAATGTGTTCACATTATCTTTTTATTGTGTGTAGTACAATAAAATAACATAGGTATTCATGAAAATCTAGTAGGTACCGAGTTTCATGTAACATAACATGAAAATTTTGCCCCAATCTAAGAATTTCTCTTGTGTCGAGAGTGCGCTTACAAACGTTCAATTTCACATCACAAAAAGAGTTGTTCCCTGCGGGATTCGAACCCGCGACACGTTGTGTGGCAGCCAGTAACCCAACCACTGCGCCAACCGTGCAATCAGAATGTAAACGTACCTACCTACTTAGGTGTTTTTGTAAACCTTTGTCAACTTTTTAGAAGAATGTATAAAAAAAATCTCATCTCGTATATTATATTGCAGAAGATGCGATGGATCAACGGCTTCAATCATAGGGTTGGGGTGATAAACCTGAATGACAAAGGCAGCACCATACTGTTCTACTCGGCCTCCAACTGCGGAGTGATATACAACTGGTCGACACATCACATGTGGCTTCTACAGGGACACGTAAGATTGCTTAAAAACATTATTACGTACACAATAGAATGGATTTTAACGTTCAGCATTATAAGCACAATAAAACACAACATGGTAAGCAATCAACGCCGCCCATGGACACCCGCAACAACAAAGGAGTCACGTGAATCGTGCTTGGGATTTGAGGGTTGAAAGAATATATTTCCCAAATGCAAAGAACTGAGTTTCCAATAATAAACAGGTGCGTAGACGAAAATATATACCTACTATTATCCAATACCTAGTGTATACGTTAGTGGAGATAGTGCCTTTACTTTAACTAGTAGCTGCCAAGTACCAGGTTCACTTGGCGAAGGTAAAGGTTAGATGATGACCATATGAATCGTTAGTCTAGGCTAGATTTAGAGCAGACAGGGTTGGCTGTAAGAACAACAAAGTAGGAAGGAACTAGCGGTTTCAGTCTTTAGCTGGTAAGAGTCAGACACTCCCTAAAAATAAAGCTAGAATTAAAGGCAATTCAACCTGGTTATAATTTTTAGAGACATATGATCACATGCATAGCGGCGGACGACAACGGTCGATGGCTGGTGACAGCCGACTCCGGCTCAGAAAACGTGCTTATAATATGGGATGTCAAAGATCTATTTCCGCAGAAGACATTTTTTTCCCCACACGGCAGCGCTAAAATCGCCAAAGTGGCATTGAGTGGTGACGCCAAGTATTTATTGTCTCTGGCATACTCTGCAGAGAAAACGTCGCTGTACTTTTGGATCTGGTCTCATGGACAAGACTTTCCACATGGTAAGCTCACGAGAGACCACCTTTGTATCAATATTTTTATATATAGGTAAATACATATGTACTCGCAGAAGGATCTCGGAAAGGGCTTCAACGATTTTGAGGAAAGTTTATTTAGGCTAGGGCTTTTGCATATTGCGGAAATATAATTCGAGTAGGTATGAACTCGCGAATGTTATTCTACATCTTTTCCTTTTCCCCATCCCTTTCAACATTGTCTAGAAAGGATCACTGTATTAGGTACTAAAAATATTTGAGTAGATACTTTTAGAAATATTGATTGAGTATTCTAAGGTCACGTCATGACTTGAAATTTTATGGTTTTAGCGATTTATGAAACAACTACTATCCCTCGAGATAGCATTATTGTGATGGGTTTTAATCCATCAAAATCGGAACAGTTTCTGATGATGACCAGAACCAATATTTTAATTGGCGTTTCAAAAGTAAGTAGCAAGATGCAGATTATAACACATTTTCTAAAACACTATTGCACCAATGAATTATACTATTTTAATGTCACGAGCTTGTCCAACTTACCTAAGTAAACGTTGACAATATTTACAGAAAGTCGTAGTAGTTGAGCGCGGGATCTCAAGAGAGACAAACCGCTGGGAAATAATAGTAAAAAGTATGGATGCAGTGAATCCAGAATATGGGAAGCTGATGTGCTATACTTTCGTGAAGGGGACCTCTCAGATTTTGTTGGGTACCACAAGGGGTGCGGTGCTCGTGTATGGGTACACCATCGAGTACAAAGCCAACCTAGAGCCTATGAACATTGATAACCTGAGATATATCAAGATGCTGAAGTTGAATAAGAAGCTGATTCATGTCATCAAGAATATTGATGGGTTAGTTGTATTGTTATTGTTAGTTCCATATATTATTTCAGATCTTAAGAACAAGCTAAACCATTGTAAGTAATGAAATATGGTACCCATCAGCAGTATATATCACAGTTCAATAAATAATTAAGTATATTTTCGAAACATTGTTTAAGTGAACGTAATTTTTAAACTTGTAGGGATACTTAAAATTGCGTCTACATACGCGTTTCTAAACTCTCATTAAAAAATGACATGAAATTAAGTTTTTTGACATATCGGTCATATTCCAAAACATTGAAACCTGTGACGAATAAACTGTCTCTTTTTAACGCTCGAACTAGTAATACTTAGTAAGATCATTGAATGTCTTATTCTTCTATCAAACCCTTTCACTTGACTCTTAATTAATACCTCGAAGTCTTGTGAGCTTGTTTTATTTCAAACTAGCGGCCCGCACCTGCTTCGCACGCGTCTTTAACTATCTCGCTAACGACCAAAGTGTCCCTATTTCCCAGATCTCCCCTCTACTTTTCTAATATTTTCTTTGATAAGAACCTTCTCCTTTGACAATAACAAATACAACAAAAAAAGAATTAGCAAAATTGGTCCAGGCGTTGTTGAGTTATGCGCTTACAACACATTATGCGATCCGTTTTTATTTATAAGAAGATTTAAAAGCTACCTTAAAGCAAAGGCATAATGATGCCTTTTCTTCTATGTATTTATTTCAATGATACGTGTACAATCACAATTCGGTAGTTTCCAACGTTTCAAATTCCAAACCTACTTTTATTGGAATTTGAAAAACGATACTTTGTAGGTATTCTATGAATGATTTTGTATGAGATTACAAAATATAACGTCATTACGTTTTTACTTTATTGCAAAAAGTTAACTATCGGAATCTAAAATTAAGTATACCGTACACCTTTCTTTCTCTTTAACTCAAAATACTCTTGAAAATTTAAAATAATTTATTTTTGACCTAGGAAACCTACTCAATTATGATATTTTCTTAGACAAATGTGAAGTAACTTTATAAGCAAGTTTGCGTTGTGTTGTCCAGTGTAATAGTGACGGGCAACAGCTGCGGCGAGATCCACTTCTATGATGAACAGCTGAAGTTGCTGTACTGGGTGCACGGGTTCACGGTGGACCGGGTGAAGGCGCTGAGCTTCAACATATCCCCCAGGAGCTCCGTTATACTTGATCCGAAGTGTATGATATGTTTTCTGCTACTAAAAATGTACTGCACAGTTTTTATGTTGTTTTTAATTTGGGATTAGAAGAATTCTTGAAGATGGCCGTTAGAGTATCGCTGCTAAGGATTACCCTTTGAAAGAAGCTAAATAAAATGTAGCGAACAACATATGAATAAATGAAGTTTATATAAACAACATAATCCAACATAATGTACGCTCTGTTATCGCAGGTAACAAGATTTGTCCCTGCTGGGAGAAAGTAGAGGTTGATAAAGACCCAGACACAGGCGAGGTAAAGCAGAAACTAATAAAGATGCGGTTGCCTTCAGACGCTACCGTCGACGGCAAGCCGTTCCTAGTCAGGGACTTCATAATCAGTAAGAAATTGTTATACCTAATTGTTGGATTTCAGGACTTAATAACCATTATAAAATTTAAACTTATAAGTTTTATGCATTACTAGCATTCAACACAAAGGCATAATCGTTATTTGTATCGGTTATCCAGCTTATTTGCTACGAATACGGTTACAGCTACATTCTGAGACCACATACATATCTCTATCTGCACGTGACTATAGCTATGGCTATATTTTGACCACGATTACAGCTACATTATTTATGGCTACGACTGCATTCGTAGGCCCCTGTTACGCGTGTTGAATACCTACGCTACGTGGCTACGACTGCGATATTTGTGTGCTACGATTTTCGCTACGTATGTTTCGGTTACGTAGTTCTATTTCCAGCAGTGCTGCGATTGTAAATTATTCCTAGTAGTACTTCTATGTCGCTTCTAAGGTACGGGGATACCTAAAGGATACGGAAGAGTGCTCCCGTTAGTGGTTTTACAGTCTATCAATCTGGTCCAAATATTGGCATCCTGCTATAGTCGTCATCTCGCCAGTGCCGGTGCAGTGGCCAGTCAAACTATAGCACCATATGTGCATACTAAGCACATCAACCTACTCCCACTGTACCAAACTTCAAGAAAACAATATTTGCCTGTAATAAATAATAATTGTTTTTTTTTATGAAATAGCAAGTAAAATACCATTCTGGCCATAGTGACCACCTAAAGATAAGCCATCAGCGCTCAACTTGGACACCCGCAGTACTAAAGGAGGGCTTTGTCTCATTTATTCAAATACCGCCATTAGAGTTAATTTTACACTTTATCTAGGTATGGAATGTGGAAAATGTTAAGAAAAGTTTAAATGTAATTGTTTTCGACAGCCACGTATAACCAGGGAGTGGGCTTCGTGGACTTCGTGACTGAGAAGTATACAACTATCCTGGACCACAACCGATCCTTAATCATGACCATATCCGTGCACCCAGAAAAGTTAGAATTGATTTGCTGCTTTTAGATAGTTTAGATAGGTATACTAGTAGTAGGTAGAGATATCAGTAGTTGGAGTTGAATGAAACATTTTATATTTAAGCGTAACCTTCTGTTTACTTGAACATACAACAACATCATGCTTTGTAATAATGCTCTCTCTAAATGTAATGCTCCTAAGGTAGACTGGAAGAGAACGCTCATTGCATTAAGTCCGCCTTATGCCCAATTTCTAGCTGTGCAAAAAGGTTTTACTTTCGTTGGTTTCCTACGTTCTAGGTTACAAGTTCATTTTTTTATGTGATGGGTCGGTTAACTAGCCTTCTAACGTATTACCTGATGGTAAGCAATCGGTACCGCCCATGGACGACCGTGCCAACAGATAAGTTACGATTGCGTTGCCGACATTAATGGGATTAGGATTTTGGAGATTTAGGGATTGGGGAGGGAAAGTTCATGTAAAGTTTGTAAATAGTGATCACTTTGTGTGACCACAGGAGCCTAATATGCCTTGGTTACAAGAACGGCAGGGTGGAACTATTCGACTTCTGCCGCCACAAGCTGATCAAACGCCTGAACTTGAGGCACACGTTCACTGTGGTCATACCGCCTAACGAAGACTCCATCAACTGCAACTTTGCAATCACCGTGCCTGAACTGTCCGTCACCTGCCTCAAATACTCGCCTTCAGGTAGGTACTACAAAATAAATCTAAAAAATATTATTATGAAAGAGACGGCCTTATAGTAAGCACAATAGTCGGACAGCCTGATCGGTAAAATATTGTTTCTCGAAATTAATACGCTTGATATCTTAAATGTGTGTATGTGTGCATCGTCATGTTACTTAGTCGTTACGAACTTACGAGTGTATTTAGTACCTATGTATCTAAATCTATTTTTACAATTTTGTCTAATTTCTGCACCTATTTCCATTACCTACAGGCTTGCACCTGGCTTGCGGTTTGAACACAGGCCAGCTTCTGTTCCTCGACCCATCCACCATCGATATCCGCACCCCGACGCCATTCTCCGACACCAAAAGTGACATCATGTTCATATGCTTCAGTCAGGACTCCATCACGCTCGCCACTGCTGTCAGTTCTATTATCTACTAGCTACTCTCACGCAGTCACATAGCGTGATGTTTTATAGCCTATATTGTTTTATAGCCTTTGGTAAAAAGACTAACAAACACAAAAAGAATTGTTCAAATCGAACCAGTAATAGTTCCGGTGATTAGCGCGTTCAAACAAACAAACCCTTAAGCTTTTTAATATTATGGTATAAATTATACAGCTGTTCATTTTTCTCGTCTTCTTATAACTTTTTCAAATAGAATTAGCTTACTAAACTGAGTAGAATACTACACACATTAACTAATAAATCTCTTCACATACAGGACGCTTTCCGCACCGTTTGTGTGTACAAGTACAACTGTGAAACGTTCAAGTGGGTGTTTATTGGTAAACATAGGTCGCACTACAGAGATATTACCGCCCTCGTCTTCGTGCCCAGTAACACTAATGGAGGAGAATATAAGTTGCTATCGTTCGGGTTGGACCGCAGTATGGTGGAGTACGACATTGCCAACAGTAAGCAAGAGTACCTTGAGATAGCCAGCCTGGATCGTGTAGAGCAATCGGCCGTGCCACTGGCAGCTATCCCGTGGCCCACACCGGCAGAGCTTAACCCGGAAGAATACAGAACTGATTTACCGATGATACTGATGGCAAATGATGAGGTAAAAAAAATATATAAAAACTTAATTAATTATAGTTACCGGCTTACTAAAGCAACTGTTTGGCTAGTTAACTCGACTAGTTTGAAGCCGTTAAACACTTGACGAATAGGCTAAAGAAAAAAAAACGATGAATGGCAATGAAAGCACATTTAGCAAATAAGATCGCGAGTGGGGCTGAAGTGACTTAACCAAGAGAGCGGAAAGCCATAAGGTACAAGTACGGAAAAGACGGAAATGGAAAGTTGGCCACGCAATGGCTTCTAGGTAAACCTGTCCGAGGCGGTACGATTTTGGTTACGTTAGGATGCCGATTAGTGGTCTTCGCAGAAGGGAGTTTCACACAAATACGCAACGTGACGATCCCTTTCAAAGATGATGTTTGTTACCTCTGTTATTTTTTCCTTTCTCACGTAAAAAACGTCTTTTGTCTTACGATAATGGTGTCTCTTGCTGACTCTGACTACATTACATTTTAAATCTGTTGCAGTTCAAGTACAAGATAGTTAACTACGCAACAACGATGACGTTGTCAACTGTACTAGGTCCGAGGTACGATCACCCGGTCAGCAAAATGCAGTTGGTTACTCATAAAAAGGGAGAAGAGACGAAAAAGTACTTACTGTTTAGTTGTAGAGAGGTTATTGGCCTACAGAAGTTGCCACTCGATGGAAATCCTTGGAAACACGTTGGACTACTGGGACATCCAATTAAGGTTAGGTACATTCTCTTCTACAATATACAATCTCTAGCTGACTGCGACTTTGCCAGTGTCTACATGCTAGTTTGATGGGTAGGTACTCTTGACCTATATGCATTCTTCTGCTGAATAGGCTGGATATCAGGAAGGCGATCGGTACCTAATCGTTCAAGACTGGACTACGATGGTGTACTGTTGATAATACTATCATCATAATATGATTCCTTTTGTAACTCATGTAGATACTAACTTTTTCCTGTGGAATAGTGACTTCCTGTAGATTTTTGGTTTAAAGACTAGGTACCTATATATCCTATGTCCTTTCTCGAGTTCCAAAGTATGTGTGTACCAAATTTCACACAAATAGGTTCAGTAGTTTAGGCGTCAAAAAAAGACAGACAGACAGTGTTACTTTCCATCTATAGGTACTTATCATAAATCTATAGAGAGGTCAATTCTGTACAATTCTGTACAATATTTTCAAAATAACTACCAGGGGGTGATAAGTGACCAATACTGATGTCAAAAATGCAATCAGTAAATGTTTGGTCTGTCTGTCTGTCTGTCTGTCTGTCTGTCTGTCTGTATGTTCCTTATAGAAATAAAAACTACTCGACGGATTTTAACAATACTTGGTACAATTATTCTTTATACTCCTGGGCAGGTTATAGGATATTTTTCATAACGCTACAAAAAATAGGAGCAGAGCAGTGTAGGGAAATGTTGGAAAAACGGGCGAATTTACTCCCTTTTTTAAGTTTCCGTCGCATGTTTATCCTTAATGGTTACATAGAAATTATGTATGACGGAAATATTCTACATAAAATTATATAAAATTTTTTTTACAGCATGTGTCTATTGTTTATGGTTAACTCACAATAGCAAGTGTAACTCCTGATAACTTAGCAGTTCGGAGTATAAGCAATCGCGCCGTCGCATGTGTAGGTACAGTGAATCATGCTATAAGGATTATTTTTGTGTAAAGGTTGCCACGCTCGATGCGACGCGGTATAAAATAAAATATAATATAAAAATAGGTTTTATGTAGGTAATATTTATAATACTTGCCTATTAGTTAGATCCGTACCATTCTGTCTATGGAAGGACGGATAGCGGAGACTTAGTAAGTAATAGGGTATTTACCCATTTGGAAATGTTCCCATAAATATTAGACGATTAATAACAAAATGTATACTTCGATTTTGTTCTACGAGTATTGCTATAGGCTGCTTTTTACCAACAAAGGACGCGGGCGAAGCCGCTGGCGGAAGCTAGTTTATAATATGAGTTTGGATGGATAAGGCTCAGGTTCTGCCCCATATGGAGTGCAGTGCATTTTCTATTGTTTATACCATGAAGCTTGCTCTGAGGAACTGCTCGGTTTGATCGCAGCATATATGCCCATGTTTTCGCCATCAATCCACGCAATGATACTACCTATACTTAGACTATACGGATACTAAGTATATATAGACTATAGTAAGTATATATAGACGATTAAATAAATCAAGTATTAATCAGTATACGTAACTTTCAGATTACAGAAATGTGTTTCCGAGAAGACCTGGGAATTCTGTTTACTATCGGTGCGAAAGATACCACATTCACGCAGTGGCTTGCCCATTTCAAGTAACCCAGATTCTGTACTTTAATGATTAAGTTACAATACCTATGTATGTCGTTCGCGTTTGTTAGCTCCGCAAGAATTTTGCTAAGAACCTCCCAGCAGTGAAAGAGTTTCGCAAATCAGTAAACTAGTTTCCTATTTTATTAAAGCATAAGTATAGTCTATTCAATTTAAACAAAAAAACAATGAAATCTTTCCTCTTTATAATATTATTAAGAGGCCTAGAGGTTACTAGCCACTCCCGCGCGGTTTCACCCGCTGCTCGGCTCCATTTAATAGTAGCGTGATGTTTTATAGCCTATAGCACTCGGGAATATTGTAGCTATCTATCAGTGAAAGAATTTTGGAAATCCGACCAGCGGTTCCAAGGATTGCCTCCTACTAGTCCAGTCATTTTAGGTTTCATCTGCGGAAAAATTCCTAGTGAGCTGAATTTTTGTATACACCTTTATTACGGCGTTATTATGAAGTTTATTACGGCGTTATTATGAAGAGACATTTTTTGTAGACAATTTTATGAGGAACAATTTTTATAAGACCTCTATTGACGTTCGAGCAATAGGTCGCAAAATATTTGCAAAAAACTGATTTTCGTGACCTTTTGACCTCTGTAATTTTTTTAGCCGACACGATATTGATGTCGATTTTTCACAACTTCATAATAACGCCGTAATAAAGGTGTATACAAAAATTCAGCTCACTAGATTTTTTTCCCCAGATTGGGGTATAAAATGCCTAAAATGACTGGACTATACATACAAACTTACAAATTTTACCTCTTTATAATATTAGCATAGATTAAGTGTGGTATAAATAAATCTGCAGGTCCGTAGAAACGACAACAAAGTGCGGGGGATCGGACTTGGATCCATACTACTGCCTTGTGGAGGACGGGCGGCCTGGCTGGCTGTTTCAAGAGATACGCGACCTCTTCTACTACATCCAGATTCTCTGCCAAGGCACCTTCTCACCAGCTAGGAGACAGGTCAAGGATTATATTCCAATAGACTCACTGCCTGATCTCATGAGGGCTCTAGGATTCTTTCCTTCTGAATATGAGGTACGTATATCACATTATATTAGGTAGATATTTAGTTATGTAGGTATGTATCTACTTCATTTCTTTGAATTAAGGGGCTACTGAAAAATACCTATCAGTGTTAGACATAAGAAAGAATCTAAACGTTATATTTTTCACGTCTATACCTACTTTTGACAGCACAGCTGATCAGTAAAAAATTTACTTTTTTATTACTTAGATAGGGCGTCGGGCGAGCACGCCGGGTTACCTCTTGTTAAACAATCGGCGCCGCCCATGCCCACCCGCAACACCAAAGGAGTTACCTACGAGTGCTTTGCCAGCCTTTTTGGGATTAGACTTAGATCTAAGGATTAGGACGGTTTCACGCCGGTTTTCCATGGCCGTAGGTAGTAGGTATCACTTCGGTTGAGCCGACCCATTCGTGATGAATCATGGCTCTCCCACACTTAGCTACTATCTACATTAGATATTATATGTACCTACACCATAGATTTAAGCTATTGTTTCTATGTGTAATGTAAAAACAAATCTTGGACACGTTATCTTTTTTTCAGGTGGAAAATCTTTTAATCGAAGCAAAGTATAAAGTGTATCTTCACACTCCAGTTACGGAAATAGATTTTGAGGAGTTTGTAAAACTGTACCTGAACCATCGGCCAGTGTTTGGCGAGGACTTTAAGCGGCTGCGCTTAGCATTCCGCACTTTCGCCAACATCGGAAAGGATGGATTCTCTATAAAACGAAACGATTTCATTGAAATACTCACTACTAATGGTACTTTTAATAATATAATAATTAACATATTTAAATAAGCGACTTACACACGCAATAACTGAGAAGAGCTCTACTAGGTAGTACCTAGTTTACCTACAGTTTCAAGTCACAAACGGGACTTCCTAGTTCATGAGCAGCGTGCGCTTCGGGGCGAAGTCGCGTAGGCAGTCGGCTGCTAAATTCATTGTCTCACGAGAATAATAATAATAATAAGCCCGCAGGGCACCTTGAGGCGAGGTGACGGGAATTAGCGATCTCGCGGGCTACCACCATCCCGATTGCTCCAGGGAGGAGTCACCGTTCCTTATCTCCGGCTTGCCTTCATTGGCTGGCCGGAGTGAACGATGACGAGGAACAGGTCTCCCACCTCTGGCTTGCCTTCAGTGGCCGTCCAGAGTTGAGTCGCGAGGGTAGTGATCCTGCTCGGAGGGTGGAAGCTGTTCGTAAGCGGCGAGTGGGCCAGTGATGCAGGATGCTTAGGCAGATGCAGATGATCTGAGTAGAAAGCTGGTGGCAGTTTCTTCACCCTTCAGCCACTCACATTTCCGTTGTCCCTCTGTTGCTATTACTAGCAACTATTCCCGGGGGCCCGGTCGGTGAGTTGGCGAGTCTCCGCCTGCCATTTTTACGTGTATAAATTACATTGTTTCGGCAGGTGCCATAGTCCTTCCATAGTTCCCATCCTACTAGCCCATAGCAACCCACACCCATAGCCTTGTATTTTGTTTGCATTATCCGCAATAGTCCTACACTAACCGGGGACTGTCCTTGGGTGCATTCCCATAGTGTATACAGGGATAGTCGCCGGTTTGTGTCCCATTTCATTTAGATTAAAGTTGTCTAAAGGGCCTCTGCGCAGTTGGCTCCGGCCCCTCGTACGCCTTCCAAATGACCGGGGCCCTGTGGTCCCGTGATTGGTAAAGACATACATAATAATAATAAATCATTGACAGTCAAGCCCATTACTGTACCCAATTATATAGAAAAACAATGTAGGTACCTATCTACTTACACAATCCCGGGTTAGGTTAGTTACTACTGAGATTTTGAACTAAATTAACTTTAGGTATAATCTTGTTTTATAAAAATTACCATTACTTATTAACAATACCGTGGAAAATACGAGTGAATCAACAGGTTGGATCGATCGATCCCAATAACCTATGACAGTAAGTAGTTCCAGCTATCCCCCACAAGTATAAGTCCCAATAAATCCAATTTTTCACCACTAGAAAAAAAGAACACAATTTTTTAATTACCTATTTCCCATTGGCACCGCTTATGGATAGTGATCCGACTTTCAAACACTACCATAAGACTCAAGATATGATTTTCTATTTGTAAGTACCTAACTACCTACAAAAATATCAAAGGTATACCTTCCACATTCAGGTGAGTACTTTTCTCGGGAATTGTGCTGGTACTTGCTGACTATCCTGGCCGGGCACAGCATCGAAGACAGAGCTCTTATCAGTGAAGATGACTTCTCATTCTTACCAGAGGTAGGTTAATTAATGTGACTATAATATCACCAACAAAATAAAGGGTATAGATCAACAAACGAGCAGATGGATTACCTGGTGGTAAGCAATCAACGCCGCCCATGGACTAACTCAACATCAAAGGAGTTAAGAGTGCGTTGGTCGATAAGGGTTAAGGATATTTAAGGCTTGGCAAGGGATGGGGGCAGGGGGAGGGATTGAGCCTGACGTAACCTTATTCACACGACGAAACCCAGCGCTATGGTTGTTTCGCGCCGATTTTCTCTGAGGCCGTGGTATCACTCCGATCAAGCCGAGCCATTCGCGCCAAAGCTTGGTTCTCCCACACTTAGATAATTATTACTAACTAGCTACTCTGGCGTGGTTTCACCCGCTGCTCTGCGCCATTCCATCGTGGCGTGATGTTTTATAGCCTATAGCACTCGGGAACATTGTAGCTATGTCTATCAGTGAAAGAATTTTAGCAATCCGAAAACCGGATTGAAAAATTACCCCCTACATACAAACCTACAAATTTTACTTCTTTATAATATTAGTATAGATTAACTTTTATAACGTATGTATTTTTATAAGACATACATTCTTTTATCCCATTGCTTTAGAAAGATATAGATATAGGTTATGGAACCTCAAGCTGTGTAGTTTGCATCTAAATGAAAGTATTTGTCTTTTACAGAAAATCAACTTCTCAGACTTTCTGACAGAGATAATTGGCATACAAGAAATGGAGAATGTGTCGGACTCATACTCTGGTATGGAGTCTATGGTCTCCATACATACAATCACATCATACGAGTCTAATGATTAAATGAAAATAATAAGTTATACACCTTTATTTGTATCTTACTAATTACTAAATTATATTACATTTATTATTTATTTATAATACATGAAATTTACAATAATATTAATGTGTCACATTATTATTCGTAAAACAAACCAGTTACAATGTATTCTATTGGCGGTTTTGTAAACTGAACAATATTCCAATTACAATAATAAAAATAAAAATGGCATCAATCTCACAGAGAGAATCAGTATATAACAATGTCATTAAAATATAAAATAAATGTTTTGAACACAGCATTATAGAATGATGGAATTCTCAGTAGTCACTATGTATTTACATATGTATGAATGTATGTATTTTGCAATAACTTGCAAAACCTATTCTGTCAAGCCTGTATTTCAAATAAATTAACAAGTTGTAACGAATTACACAAAGTCAAGTTTATATCATTATTGATAAAACATATTATTCTAAGTTTACACCAGAAGGAAGGCAACTCACCACTTAAATTATTAAAGCTGGGTCAAAGAATCAGTTTTAAACATAACCTTTCAGACTTCTGTGTAACTCAAGCATGAAGTACTTTTTGTTCAGTGGCATAGACTAAAAATGTTTTTAATGTAGAAGAATTCTTCATTTAGTAAAACTATATACTAAAGAGTTTTGTACCACCAGGGGACTGATTGTACAATATTCATGTTGTACAAACTAACATACCTATGCTCTCAACATAAATATGCAATTTGTGTGAAAACATCACATTAATTGCAACACTGTTCACATTAAATTGTTGTCTTTTTATAAAATAATATTAAATTAGTTACATTTCTAAAATTAATTAAGTCACATTTTATAAAACTCAAATGTAATTTACAGTAGCAAGTAGAGATGAAACAGATATCCTGTAATCACCGAACATGATCTTTGACTTGATCTTGATTGACTAGTGTTAAAGCAATTTTAAGGTATCATGAGATGCAGCATTCATCATCTCTTCTACCTATTCAGACTGCCCATGAACATGGGCTTCTTCAACAAACATTTTTACAAGTTACTTTTTGTAGCAAGTGTGAATGAAGTGTTCAGGTATGTTTGAGTCTGCTATGTTCAGCCTAATATTTGGCCTTAAGGTTGGCCGAGTAGACAGCATCATGTATACAATCAAAGAACTATCCGTTTCATCTCTAAATAGCAAGAATTGGGCTAGCAGTAAAATAAATGAAATCACTCTTGGTCATGGTGACCGTAATTAATTGAGAACACCTTTCTTATAAAGAGTCACAAGTTTGATAAAATTATACTATAAGCATGAATGCATCTGTGGCAGTATGTGGTAAATAGTTGCTAGCTCCTTGAATGCACACTCCTTAACTCACGAACATACCACCAAGTTCACATTGTCTGTATGTAAGCACAGTCTCCACCTGCGGGCTTGCAGCTATATGTTGGTACTCAGCAAGCCTCAGTCTGTTTTTAACCGCTTCGCTGGAGTTGTGGTGCCACTACTCTGGGAGTTGGAGTCCTCAGAGAAGTTCATTGCTGTTGATGTAAACTCTGTGGGCCCTTGGGAATCACTCACTGTTGAAAAACCTGCAAAGCATTATCCTTGAGTTACTGCTTTCATTACCTTTGCAAACTCTACTACAGCACTGAGATAAACTCTTGATCGTAAATTATTTCATAAAGCCATGAACCCTGACCTACTTGCTTAAATCCTCCATCTTAAAAACTTGTGAAGCCATCGTTAATAGGCGAATGTAGGTACCAACCATAATTTAGTTAAAGGTTATTTATTGTTGTTTACTTACATGTGTTGGAATCCTCCGCCATACCAAAGTTGGAGTTTGAAGAATCGTGTACTTTCTTAGGAGTCAATGTGTTCTCCTTATTTTCACGTTTAGCCGCGTGTTTCTTCTTTTGCTCATTCGTAGATATTGGAACCCATTTATATATTTTCATTGTCGTTTCACCAATAGTCACCCATTTTTTCTCCCTAAAAATGTATGTGATATTAATACTCAAATTCAGAAAAAAGCTTTGATTATAAATTGTAAAATGTAGGTATAACTCTTACCAATGGCGAACTTTTTCCACAGCTTGCATGACTCTTTTGATATCATCTTTAACACGATTTCTAGTTTCTGCCCGCACAGAACGAGACATTTTTTTCGACTTTTCAAAAACAGCAACTCCTGTTATAATGAAATATAGTATTTGTTTACGAATTAATTTTAATAAGTTCGCTACGATAAGCGGGTTTGAGCTCTTTATTTCATTCATCCGCCATTGACCGACTTCGACTTGAATTGGTTGACATAAGTTTATATCGCGTTTAGTTATTTTGGTTTTTGTTATTAAATAAATATTCTTGATAATGTTTATTTAGCAGAGAACGTTTAAAGATTTTGAAAATTTTGTTGGGAACTTCTACGCAAAATCTCTAAAATTGTATGGTGTACCTACGGACTGTTACTTTAAAAAATGATTGCTCAAATAAGAAAAAAAATAATAAGGAAGTGGAAGAAGTAACATTTATAGTGGTTGTTACACCATTTGTAATTAAACGTCGTAAGTAAGATCTTGTTTTTGCATCTGAATTATCCTTAGACTGAATAATAATACATAATTTAAAACAAAAAGAAACGGATTATACGTTTTTGATTTACTATAGAATATTTAGTCTTGTATTTGAATAACAACTATAATTAATATTAAAAATGTTTTTTCGATATATTTAAATAAATGTGTGCAATAAATTATCGTTAAAATAATTGAAATTGTGTGAACTAAACGTTAGTGCTTGCGTAATCATGCTTACGTTTCATTGGTTGAAACTTGTTCATGATATTGTTTCAACCAATAGAAGCACGAGAAAATGCAACTGGAAAAGATTTTTTTTATATACAGTCAAAATCGAAAATTGAAAACAGGGACATAAATTTATGAAAAAATTCATTGGTATTTTACTGCCCAAAATAATTTTAAACAAGGTGTAACATGTCGATTATGATGCTTTGATGCATAGGTAAGTAATATAATTCCTTTTTAACAAATGCATAAGCATATTTACGCAATGGGGTGAATTTGTGAATTTTACTGTGACTGAAATTTGACTTATATTTAGCGGCTGTCAGTTGTTTTACGTCTCATCATACATTTTTGTTCATAATACTTTATTTCTAAGATTATTGCTAAAGTTCATATTAAATTTCACGCGGCTTGGACTTCAGGGATGTGCATCGATTACGATGATGCAACGAGATGATAAGGTGCAAATTACTTGCATTTGTCTAATGTTTTATTGGTGTTTCGCTTCTTGGCACTTAATTTTTATAAGTTTTTATGTTACATGTGTTTGCTTTAGTTAGTTTGATCACAAACATAACCTCTACACAAGTAGCCACTTCCCACTATTCAAGTTTATGGCACCTGTGCATACTTTTCGTACGTGTGTCATTCCTCACACACCATGTTGCATGTCGTCATAAAAAAATATTTAAATCTTTAACTAACTGCTTATCATTTTACATGTCAGTCTGAGACTTATCTAGAAAAGTGTTGTCAGATTTGGTGATATATTTTTTTACTGATGACCCTCCAAACAACTACTTAATTACAGTGGCTCCATTGACTGGGTCATCACTTAGCTATTGATCATTCCTATACCTTTAAAGCAGTATGTGGGGAAAAAACTCAAAATTGTATGTTAGGGATGTGTACTTGCAACTAGCTCACTGGCTTTGTACACAGTTATTTTAAGTTGTAGCTCTGTCCTGTGATTTTTAGTTTTCTTTGCACTTGTTTACGCCTTGTTATGCTTTGTTGCAGTTTTACCGTGCATGTATTGTTAAAACTGTAGAAGTATACAGTGACTATATTGTTGGCTTGTCCGGCATAAGGTCCACCTAACGACAACCGTGAATATTTCCTTCCCGTATGGCTGCATATGTTAACCGTACGATATCAATGATGGCTGGCGACGGGCCTCACAACGTTTCAATGCTGAACAATGGCACTGTCCGTGTGAACATGTCTAATGTGGACTCACCGCTGCAGATATTTGTGAGAGCCAAGAAGAAGATCAATGATATATTTGTTGAGATTGATGACTATGTCAAGGATGCCGTCACCTTCATGCATGGTAAGCAGACTATGTTTCCTTACAATAACAGATATAATAATATACTGTTGTGACCAAATGTAAAGCAAATAAATATTGGTGATCTCTCATTTGCTCCTGTCCCACTCACCATTGCTCCAAAGTTTGTGTTTAAGTATATATCACTAAAGTTGTGATTTATAATCAGCTAACCAGCCAACCAGACTTATGATTACATTTTGTTTTTGTATTATAATTAATTTGGTACACTATCACTGAGATCATATCTAGCAGATTAATATAAATAATTCAAATATCCAGTGATCTAAGTTATCAATGTTATCATATCATATCATCATATCATAGTTTGAATGCTAAAAACTAAAATGTTGCACTGATTATCAGTAATTTGTATTTCTCATTACAAATTCAATTTCATTAAATAACATTATTTTGGAGGTAGTTCTGGCATATGTGGTGTGAGTAAGCTGTGTAGAAATATCTGAAAAAACAAAATTTTTATATGGGCCATGGGCCTGAATTAAATTATTTTTATTTTATTTATAATATTTGTCAAATAGTAACTGTTTATTTCAGTAAACAATGATGGGTTCAGTCATTCAGTCATTTTTTACTGCACATTGTTATGACTCACACATAATGACCAGGAAAGAAAATAAATTTATTTATGCATAAACAGCTGACCAATATAATATCCATTGAAAGTCTGATACATACACTAAAATTATAAATATACTTATAATACCATAATCAAGAAATATTTAACATAAAACAAGATAGTAGGAATAGTGATTGATATTACCTTTAAATAATATATTCTTTATTGATAAGTGTTGTTGTTATGTCTAATCTTATTAAAGTCTTTTATCTGTGAAATGTTAAAATATAAACTTTAGTCCATGAAAATCTCATTCAAAGGTCATGTGTGAGCATCGCGTATTTGGATAAAGGTCATTATCATTAATATTTTATTAGGCTCTAGAGTATGTCGTACGTGCCGTACACTGGAGCGTGTATACGAGGCCTAATTAATATTCAAATTGCGTGCCTTAAATATGAATGTATTGTAATTCTAGTTGTCTTGTATAGGAATGTTCTGGAACTTAATAGGATATTACAATCTAATCCCTAGAATAATACTATTATATACTTAAGTTGTTTGTAGTTGAATGTACCAGTTTCAATTACATAACACATCTTCAGTTCCAGTCACCCATCTTTAGGAATTTAATAATATAACTCCAGTCTTCCAACTCCCATACTAGAAGTTACGAAAGTCTAATCGCACATTATTTGTTATCTGTTTGTTTATATGATGTCACTCATCATTGATTGCAGCAATAATTGTTTGTTTACTAATCTTCTTATCAAGTCTGTAAGTGACTTTGCTTAGTGTTGCACGCTATAAACGTAATTTAGGACGCGAGCGGTGTAAGAACAGCAGCTTGCTCTTCGAATGTTTCATGCCAATGAGAATGTAGCGTACACATGTCATGTTTGTTGACTTTCTATTTAGAGTGATTACAACAATATATATTTAGAACAAAGGGCTGTGAGACTTTTGCCCACTAGTATTGATAGCTCATGCTCATACAATAAAGAAAAAAATAAAATTCGTGCTTCCCCCATCTTTGCCAACTCCCAACAGTGTATGTGTTAGCAGCTTATTGAGCTGTGGTTTTCTTTTACCCTGAAAACATCACACTTGAGAAACAGATATTCGTCCAATTTATGCCGAAACATGATATTTTTAAGTTGATTGTTTTGTTGGCGTGGTTCCAACTGAACTGTTATGTTTTTATGTTACCGAAATCGTTTCATAACACTCTGTGCACAGTTTTCTATCAATGAATGGCGAAGGTAAACGGATGTCGGTCGGAAATAGGCGTAACGTTACGTGCACACCTACCTTGCTCTAGTAACCATTGAATTCATTTCTCCCGGGGCCTGGTTAAAGTATGTAAAAGCAACTTTTAATATAATGTACATTGTATGTAAAAAACAACGTTATTTTGTTGATTTTATTGATATTCATGTTGTTATGGCCATTTGATCTTTATTTTCTCGCGAAGGCATTAGTCGATGAAATTTTATATAAATATGCGAGTCTTTATAATACTTAAAGCGTCTAAAGCTGTCCATTTATTCAAGGTTTATATTGCCTTTTTATTTCAAGCTCATCTTTATTTAGGTAATTATAAGTTGTAACATTTCACAAAGTATAAACGATCTTGTGTTTTAGCTGTTACGGGCGAAAATGGGATCGCGACGCCACAAGACTTGGCTAATGTGGAAGCATACATATCTAAAGTGCAGGCCATACGAGAGGTGCTCAAGCGAGATCACATGAAAGTCGCCTTCTTCGGTCGGTAAGCACATTTTACCAACTATTGTTAAATTATCACATTGTACCACTGAATGTCATAATTTTTAAATTATTGTAACTGAAGTTTTAAAAGCAATAAACTTGAAAATGTATGAAATAAATATTGTTTGTAGTTTGTGATTGTGTTTTTTGATGTTAGCATCTGTATCAAAGTATTACATATTACACGCAGCCAATTACAGTATTCCGGTAATTTATTAAATCATCCTGGATTTCTTTCGACTGAATATGTTTTGTTGTGTGCTTAGGACAAGTAACGGAAAGAGTACAGTGATCAACGCGATGTTGCACGACAAGATACTGCCGAGCGGTATCGGGCACACCACCAACTGTTTCCTGCAAGTCGAGGGCTCAGACAATGACGAGGCGTTCTTACGCACCGAAGGCTCCGAGGAGAAGCTCAATGTGCAGGTTATTGTTACCCCTATTTTCATCTGCATAAAGCTTAATATCGTACGCCATTTAAATAGGAATACTGTTTGTACAGGGAATGAATAGTTTGTTATACTCATAAACTCTTACAGGAAAGTTACTTAGTTACCTAACAAGGGAGTCTTGTGTGCTTGTTATATGGCAATGTTTACACTGAAACATGGTGAACAAAATGTAACGTTACAATATTTTACGTGATGATACACAATTTATTGAAAACTAGCTTCTTCCCATGCATATTACCTAAGGTAGCAACGTTTAAAGTTATAGTTCAAGTAAACTTCCTAAATCAGGTATAAGTAATTTATAGACTATAACACTAAGGAACATTGTAACTGTCTATCAGTTGAGAAGAAGAAGAAAGAAAG